TTACTGTTGGAATCGCTCAAACCAACACTTCGGCGATTAGTGAGACCTACCAACCCACAGTCTTTTTCCGAAATTTTGGAGGCTGCCATTAAGGCAGAACAGGATGAAACCGACTGTATTCCTCGTAAGCCAACAGTGATTAAGGATGAAGTTCCGCGACGCCCGTTGCAGGAAACTACAGCCCCTAAAACACAACGCCTACCTCCCTGTCAGTACTGCCCGGAACATCACTATCACAGGGATTGTCCTGTTTTACAAGCTCAACGCAACCAAGCACCTCCGGAAAACTGGCGAGCTTCGGCGGGTTCTACCCCAGTAGCTCCTGCCGAAACGACCTCCCGGTCTTAAGCGCTATCTACTCTTATGCACAGGACCTCCCACGAACTCGTGTTCGCATTGGTAACAGAGAAGTCGTGGCAGAGATTGACTCCTGTGCATCTCACAATTTCGTGAGATTAGCCGTTCTTACAGCCCACGAACGTACATCGTTGAAAGTCGGCCCCCCTCAAGCCAAGTTAGCGGCTAATGGAGCCACAGTACAATTACATGGCTCTATTTCCCTCTCCCCCCTATTGGGGGATCAAGAATACCCTGGTACTTTCCTCGCTTGTGAAGAATTACGCGCTGACCTTGTGTTAGGTAGAGCGTGGTTAAAAGATCACGATGTGCAACACGAGCATCGGACGGACTGTTTATACTTAGGAAAGACGAATCGACGTCGAATCTTTCTGACTTCGTTACCCACCTCACGCACGGGACCCATTGTACCTTTACAATTTGATTTAACAGCCGTTCCCGAAGTGTACAGAGAAAACGTCCTCCGCACTCTTCAAATATATGAATCTGCTTTCTACAAAGGAGGCAAGCTGAAGCATACCCTCGCGGCCAAGCACTCTATCCGAATATCTAATCCACGACCTTTTCGTGCCGCTCCACGCCGTTATTCAATAGAGAAGAAAAAATTCATCGACAGTGAAATAAAAGAAATGCTCGCGGATGACGTCATAGAACCAGCCACGGAAGAATTTAGCGCCGCCATAGTCGTCGTTGATAAACCTGGGGGGGGATACCGACTTTGTCTCGATTACAGACCCGTCAATGAACAGACCGAAGATGCACCACAGCATTTACCCCTCATCCACGAAATTCTCAAAATAGTGGGAACAGCAAAAATATTCACTACATTGGATTTCAAGAGTGGGTATTGGCAAATCCCTATGGCCCTTGAATCGAGAAAATACACCGCTTTTTCTGTCCCTGATGGGGGACAATTCCGATTCAAGAGAATGCCCTTTGGTCTGAAGACGGCCTCTGGTACCTTCCAGAGCTTAATGCGTCAAGTCCTTGCCTCCTTTTGGGGGGAATTTAGTGTCGCCTATTTAGACGACATTATGATTTTCTCAAACACTTGGGAGGAACACATCAGACATTTATCAATGGTGTTGGAAAGAGTAGTCATGTTTGGTCTCACTTGCTCACCCGCCAAATGTCACTTCGGATTGAATAATCTTCCTTTCTTAGGTCATGTCGTCACGGCGGACGGCAATCATGCACAGCCCAAACATGTGGAAGCCATACAAAACGCTCCACCCCCTTGTAACAGAAAACAATTAGCTTCCTTCTTAGGAACTTGCAATTGGTTGATGGAGTATATACCTCATTACTCCGACATGACTTCGCCACTTACTAGTTTGCTGTCTATCAAACGACCTTACAAATGGACGGAGTCTCACCAGAAGGCATTCGACGCGATAAAAACAGCATTTAAAAATCCTCAGCCTTTGAGCCGTCCCGACCCTAATTTAAATTTCGTCCTTCAGGTGGACACCAGTGACCTCGGAATGGGCGCTGTTCTCTACCAGGAAAATTCAAATGGGGATAAAAAAATTGTCTCTTACGCAAGCGCGAAATTTAGTCCCGTAGAGGCACGATACCCCTCAGATGAACAAAGCTGCCTAACCATTGTTTGGGCATTTAAAAAATATCGTCCCTATTTAGAGGACCGACCGTTCACTCTGCGAGCAGACAAAAAGGCTCTCTCATGGCTCAGCCAAGTAAAAAACACGCGACCCAAGTTGACTCGTTGGCACATCTTACTTGGGGAGTTTAACTTCTGTGTCGAACATTTTCCCAAAAATAGGAGAGAGTTATCCTTTGCTCTCAGCACCAATCCTGGCCCTCTAGAGGAGACACCAGAAGAACCAGAACTTGAAAGGATGTTATATCCAAAAGAGAACTTATCAGTTCAAACTGAAGCAGAATTTCCGATCGTCAGCGCCATGTATGGTCCCACTCTACATGAAGAAATCGTAGATCTTCAACAATCTGACCCACTTATTAGCCGTCAGATGAGTGATTGGCTCAAGATCAAACAACGTGGGCCCAACAACAACCGCGATCTAACGTTTTATGAAGAGAACCGGTTGGACGAACTAGGATTCTGGAAACTTTGCTCATCAAATCAACGTTGGCAACTACGTGTCCCTTCTTCAATGAAGCAACGCGTGTTGTGGGAATATCACGATGTCCCTTTGGCAGGACATCCGGGCACCGAAGAGACAATTCGCAGTATTAAACAACTATTCTTTTGGCCGGGCATGAATCGCGAGATTCGGCGATACGTGTCCAAATGCCACTTATGCCTTTGTACCAAACCCGTTCGCCAACAACTAGCTGTTGGTCAGAGGCCACGCAGACCGCACTCCGCTTGGGAAACAGTAGCGCTCGACTTAATGGGACCATACCCCTTGTCGACCCGAGGCAATCGCTTCATCCTCGTGGTGACTGACCTGTTTTCCCGGTGGACCGAAGCATTTCCTATTAGGAACTCAAATGCATCCACCATCATCAAGATTCTCGAAGAGGAGGTCTTCTCCAGGTTTGGTTATCCCAACCGAATCTTAAGCGACAACGGCCCGCAGTTTCGTAGCCACCTTTGGGAGGAAGTAGGCAAAAAGTGGGCTTGTCAGCTTTGGACTACACCAGAGTATCACCCGCAAGCCAACCCAACTGAGAGGCGCAATCAAGAAGTAAAAAAGGGTCTTCGCCTTAGGCTACACGACGGAAATCAGAAAGTATGGGATCAACAACTCCCTCAATTGCTCTTTGGATTACGTCGCAGGCAAAATGCCGCAACTGGCGTCACTCCTGCTCACCTACTTTTTGGCCGAGAAATTTTTAGACCAGGAGAATGGAAATTGCGACCTCAAGTCATCCCGGTTACACAATTGCATCAACGAGAGGCAGATGCGTATCGACATCAAATTAGATATCAAAATCGGTATGCCGGGATCACACAGGAAGCCCCCTTCAAGGTGGGAGATCAGGTGTTTGCAAAAAATAACCGCCTCTCTAACGCCGCAGAGCGCTACAATGCCAAGTTGGCTCCTCGTATGACCGGACCTTATTCGGTCCTTGAAGTGGTCTCTCCAGGTGTCCTCTGGATTCAGAAAGAGAATGGACCCCATAAAGTGTATGCAACGGAACTAATTTTAGTACCCGCTCCAACTCGCTCAGCCATACCTCATGAATCAACAAATAGAGTCACTCAACAACCGCTCCGAGCCTCGTCAGACCTTGCTCCGGAAAAAGCAACACCTACAGAGGTGATGACAGAAACAGAAGAAATATCAGATAACTATAAAGGGTTAATTAATCCCGAAGAACCTCAGCCTCATACCCGAAGCACCAGAACGTGTCTCGAAGCCACGAATCATCACCCCGAGGAAACGGACCGCGAGGTACCACCCTCGCCCCAAACCAAAGCCTCCCTTCCATCAACAATACCTGAAACAGGTATGATTTGTAAGGAAGACGGAAGTCGTCGCTATGACATCTCGGATGAAGTAGTCAATACGCCGCTTCAGACTGATCTCACCCAAGGTGGTCCTCCAGTACCTCTGAGGATTCCAAATGAATTAAGAAGTTGCTCGGTCCCCTTTGATCAACTAACCACTTCTGAACTCAATCGGAATGACTACAATGTCTCGGACGAGACATTGGGGAGACTGGGTGAGAGAACAATTAATCACCCTTCTGTAATAATCAACAACGCGCCCAAGGGACCTCAAGAAGAAGGAGAGATATTCACCCTGGAGGGGAAGGAATATCACGAAGAAGTAGAGCCTGCAGAAGGTTCTAAAGGATCAACGACCATGGAACCAGAAGACAACGCCTTTCCACGCTATAGCTTGCGCCAACGCCGAGTAGTCGACTATAAGGACGTCCGTCCTTACCTACCTCGACGGAGTAAAAATCCCAAATTAGAGCCCTCTCTCTAATTGGATACCAGCCTACGTTCCAGATCGTTGTAGTTCTTTTGGAAAAAAGGACAACTTGTTTTTTTTTTTTTTTTTATTTTTATTATTCTTGATAAAACCTAAATAATACTCCGAATACGAGGATAACATTATAAATAAACTTCATAGTCAAGACCTTTCCCAAGGGGGGGGTTTGTACCGGTCATTTTTTTGCGTAAAGAAATAATCCTGGTTGACAACCACGGTTCTAGTTGAGAACCATTTGTTGAAACGCAAAATATTGCCTAAATACTGCATGTATCTCCCTTGAGAGTAGACCTTGACTATGAAACCGGTTTCTGGCGGCCTTGTCCCTCTCTCTTTTTCCTACAGCACTTTTCTCCCTTTCTCCAACGGTACTTCCTGCTTCCGCCTTTCTCTCTTACCCCCAGCAAGGCTCCGCCGGGCCCGTTTTTTTTTCTTTTTTACGTGTATTTTTGTTTTTAGTGTAAAAACTTTGATTTTTATTCGATTTTAAGCATTCTTTTACCAAAGACTTACCTTTTTATGTACCAATATTAATATATATTATAGTGTAAGATACTCTATAGTACTATGTACGTATAATTATATCTTATTATATTATAATATGATATAATATGTAATAATGTTGCATTATAGTATTATGTGTATATTATATTCTTATATTTGATATTGTTCTACGTTAAATTCAGAGGAATTTTTGTTATTTTTTTTAAATTGATGTCACATTTTTTATATTAAATTTTATTAGATCTTGTTTGCGATAAAATTATATTAATCCCATGTTGTTTAGTATCAAAATTTTACTCTTTTTCAGCAGTTTCACCCGGAAAACAGTTAGAAATTAATTGTTTAGTTCGTAAGTAATTATAAGCTAATTTTAAGTTTACAAGATTTTTGTCAAGAGAGTTATGCTGTCTCTGTCCTTGTTTATCTCAACTCCGTTTATAAAAAAATCTCCCCTACCAAGGACCAGATTTTTTATAACCCTTGAGCTAGGTATAAAAAGGGACGAAACGGGCCTACTCTCTCTCAGTCATTTCCGCCTACGCACAGTGTACTTTCTTAAAAGTGAAATAAAGTGTCGTCTTCACTACTCCCCGCATCTTATTTTGCAGTAAGTACCTTTCACTTCGTTTGGTCCCACTCCTTCCGAACTCCACGTTCTTACGCGGATTCATCCTTCCTCCTGGACTCACGTTCTTACGCGGGTTCGTTCCTTTCCCTCCAAGCTCACGTTCTCACGCGGGCTCCCTCGATCCTTCGAACCCACGTTCTTACGCGGGTCCGTTCCTATCCCTCCAAGCTCACGTCCTCACGCGGGCTCCCTCGATCCTTCGAACCCACGTTCTTACGCGGGTCCGTTCCTATCCCTCCAAGCTCACGTCCTCACGCGGGCTCCCTCGATCCTTCGAACCCACGTCCTTACGCGGGCTCCTTCCATCTTCCGAACTCACGTCCTTACGCGGGTTCACTACTCCTCTCCTAGCCTACGTCCTTACGCGGGCTCCCTACTTTCACTCTCTTCCTTCACAACTCGCGCCCCCCCCCCGCGGGCTCATCCCTTACCCAAGCCGATATTTTTTTTTTCTTTTTGCAAAAAAATACATGTAATTCACCATGATTGCTTCCGTAGATGCCGAAACGAAGACCCTCCAACTTTAACACTACCGAGAAGCGGAAGGCCCGAAATCTACGGCAATCAGAGAAATTAAAGGCCAAGCTCGCCAATTGGGCTCTACTAGGGACTCTTCGGAAGGCCGTGGGCAAGCCATCCCCGGATGGAAACAACAACGAGCTCACCGTCTCGCCTGTAATTCCCCGGACTGACAGCAAAAGGGACTCACTCGTTGGCCCTACCATTCGGACCGTCGAAATCCTTCCTCCCGAGGCCAGGATCCTGGTACGAGCTCCGATCTCTCCACCGGTGTTTCTTTCCGCTCCGACGTGGTCAGCTCCAAGCGATCAAGTGCTTCCTGAGAACCCAGGGTACCAGTCATCCGGACAGAGTTGGGAGCCCTATTACCCCACGAGGACTCTGACAGGTGGTCAACAGGACACCTACGTCCCTACTCCTCGGAGACAGATACGAGTCGCCCAGGAGATATCCTCTATCGAAGAGGAGATTGCAGAGCTAACCAGGCTCCTCGAAGCTACTCCTTACGAGGCTCCTTCGCCCTTGTTGATCTTGACGCCCGAAAAGAAGCCGCCCACGATCGACCTGGTGACTCCACAGAACCCATCTTGTGTCAGCGCTCCATTGTGGACTCCATCGAAGGTGCCCACTCCACCGCCGCTTCTGAGCCCCATTCGGAGCCCCAGGCCGCCCTTTCGGTCTATCAGTAACCTGGAGGAGGATCTGGCTCTCTCAGATAGCGACCAGGATATTTTGGAACTCAGTCCTGGCTCACCAATATCACGGTCGCCCCGCCGTCACTCACCACTAGCCAACCTTGGGCCAACACTGGCATGTCGCCGGCAACTTTGGAGCCAGCCTCAGAATTCAATACCATCACTTCTGGACATGCCCATTATTTGTCCTGAAGATCTGCAACTTGGAGAAAAGCCCCTTGTGGTGCCTCAACCTCGCATCCAAGAGCAGAAGCCCTACACTCGGCCCGCTGCCCAGGCGGTACCGAAATCAAGATCGCGAGGTAAACCCCGCACTAATCAAGATCGGTTGAAAGGCATCTTTCAACGGTTCAAACCACGACGTTGTTAACTTGTATGTTCCAACACTGTACATATTTTAAGGGGGGGTTTACAGAATATATATTAATTATTTATGCATTGAAATTACGTTAATTATTTATATTCCTAGTTCTGCAATTCCATTTAAAGTTCCAACTAGTCCCTTCCATCCTTAAACCAAAAACCAACTAATTTACTCTTCAACTTAAGACTAGCCCTTTGCCCGGTCTCCTACCTACCCACGGTGACCGGTAACAAATTCATCTAATCCAAAACAAAAGTATTTTAGTTGCAAAAATTATTTTCCCTTGTTTGTCATATTTTTGGAACGAGAAAAAAATTGTGTTCCACTCTTTCGAAACGTATATAATGAGGAAATGTGGCGATTTTTTTTCGATTTGGAGAAAATCAGTGAAATTGACTATGACGATGCGTGGAAATGAGTTTTGAGGTGGTAAAATAGGTTAAGCGTTAAGGGAATCGTCATATATTTGTACATATGAACATCGGAGGGAATGATATTAACGGCGTATATCTGCGGAATTTCAGTTGGTAACTATGGTTCTGATGGCATCCACATTTGAGATTCACTTGGTTGATGAAAACCAATGAGAATGTAGGGCGGAATAGGTCATCATTGTATGCCAAAATGAGACAAAGCGTAAAAATACAAATAAAATTGTAAAATACTTTTATAAAATTTGATGACTTTGTTTCTGTCTAATTTTATATCATTAAAAAAAATTTTTTAAATTAATTAAATTCAAATTAATTCAAATTTTTTGTTTACAAAAAATTTCTGTATTTGTGTTTCCTCTTTTTCTAATTATAAGATCATTTTTAATTACATGAATAAAAATAAAAAATTAGGAATATTATATTTTTTCCATGTTGATTTTTATAATATTATATCATTGAATAATAATTTTATTGAAATAAGTGTTGCCCTATTTTAAATTCAAAACTAATGGAAATTTGTGTTTGGTTAGTGCAAAGTGGTGAGAAATTTTATTCACAAATATATTTATATTTTATGTCGAAGTTTATCTAACAAAATTTTCTTCTTTATATTTAATCTGAGAACTAGATTTTCATATATATATATAAGATTCTTTCGAAACAACTTTTATATCGCTCTCCTTGGGTGAGAAATAAATAAAGCACAAAACTGCTACTACGGACATGTTTCAGCAATTTCTGGGTAAAAGAGAAGAATATAAAAAAAAAACGAAACGTCTCTTTGGCCTCAATCCAAAAGAAGATTTTTCCCACTTAAGAGAAAAAAGACGTTCGTGTAATTGAATAATTTTTAAATATATTAATGACCAAATGATTTTTGACATTTTCAATTTACTTTTACGAGACTTTTTCTTTTAATTTTAGAACACAGGAGGATGAAGTAAGATAAATTAGTTCTCTTTTAAAAAATTCATTTTTATCTCTTCGTAAATGAAATTTTTAAAATAAAGTTTAAGTTCTTTTTTTTGAGATTTAAAACTTAGAAAGAAATTATTATAAATAAGCAAAAGAAAAACTAAAAGAAAATAAACCAGAGAAAGAAGAAAAATAAAAACGAGCTAAATTTTAATTAGTGTTAAAATTTTAACTAATTGTTTCAAAATTTATTTAAAATTTATACAAATATTATTCAAAATTATTCAATTCAAAATTTAAATTCAGAGAGTTAGAAAGAAGAGCAAAATAAACAGAGAAAAAGAAATTATGAATGAAAGTTCAGAAGTGAAAAGAAGAAACGAAATTAGTAACAAGAAAAAAAAGCGAAAAATGGAACAAATTTTTTTTTGTAATAATAAAAGAAGAAGAAAGATTTAAAAGTGAATACAAACTGAAGGAAACTTTTTTCGAGAAAATTTTACGATAACAGTTGTCATTTAAAAAATGTGTAGGTACATTAATTTAAATTGTCCCAATTTATTGAAGCGATTGAATTTTAAATTTATTATTTCATGATAAATGATTTCCCATTGTAGTAGGTTATGTTCAATCAATAGATATTGATTACAACACACCTGCACGAAAGTAAAATGACATAGATGCACTGGAAAAAAAGAAGTTAAAATTAATTATGTTCTCAAGTTATAAAAAAAGACTTTAAAACTTTAATTTTAACTTTATCTTTAAAAAATTTATAAATTTACTAGTTTTTATTACTATTTTTTACACACTATTTTTCCACTATACTCTAAATTTAAATTAGAAATAATAAAAGTAATTTATTACTAGTAAAATCTTGAATTACTGCTAGTAAAACAATAATTAATTAATTAGTAAAACAATAAATAATTGGTCCTATAAAATCTTTGCTTACTCTTCGTTTTAGTAGTGACTAGAAAAAAATTAATTATTTGAATCAGAATTTGTAATTTTCATAAGTAAAATTAAAATAACTGATCTTCTTAGACAATAATTTGTTTTTAGTAAAAGAGGAACTAATTCAGTGAAATTCAAATCACTTATTTTTAATAGTAAAATAACGAATTTTCAGTAGAAAAAGTAGATAATATTTAGTGGAAAAAACTAATATTTCACAGTAAAAGAACTAATTTCTGTGTAGAATTTATTAACTTTTAGTAATAGTAATTTTAAGTACTAAAAAAATTAACTTTTAGTAGCTAAATGACTAATGTTTATCAGTAAAATTAAAATCATTAGTTTTTAGTAGAAAAATAACTAATATCTGATGGAGAAAAATTAAAATATTTAGTTTTTAGTATAAAAAACTAATTTTTATTATAGTAAAATTAAAATAACTAATTTTTAGTAGAACAACAATAACTCTTTTTCATCAGTATAAAAAATTATAAAAAATGGCTAATATTTAGTGGAAATTTTTTTTAAATATTTACTAGTGAAGTAACCTTATAAAAATTAGTACCGTATCGAAGAATAAGCAATTTACTAGCAACAATTCGCACGTACTAATTTCAAAAAAATTTCTAATTTCTATTATTATCAATAACTACTATTTTAATAAAATTTTCCAAAGAGAACTCAATTATTTAAAAAAATTTTAATAAAATTGTATGCAAACATTTAATTATTTTCATAAGTAATAAAATTTTTTTAAGGAATTCAATTATTTTCATAAAAAATAATTTAAATTCTAGAAAATAATAATTGAATTAAAATGAAGAAAATAATTTTAATGAAGTTACAGTAACTATATTCTTATAATATAAAATAATGATTTTATTACTTGGTCATCTTTAATTATTATAAAACATGAAGAAAGCGATCATTCCGAGGTTTTTAAAAAAGGTTTGAATTAAAAATTTTTGAATGTTTTAATTCCTGTGGAAAATCCTGTTCCAAAAATAAGATTAAAATTAGAAATTGTGCAAATATTTTTCTTCTTTTTTCTATAACAAAATAATAATTTTCTTTAAAAAATTGTGATTCATAAACAAAAATAATGCAAAATAAATAAATTTTCAATTTCTTAATCACAGTTGTTTAACAATATTCTAATTTTGTTTAGAAGTAAAGAACAAAAATCTGCATAATTTCAATTTGACAAAACATAATATTTAAGGAAGAATCCGACAAACAATCGGAACAAAAGTTAGTCCAATGTCATAATTTCGTATTTTAAAAGAAAAGGTCACATAAAATTTTTAACTCCTTTCGGTAGAAGCGTAAGGAATTTAATTTTCTACATTTTGAATAATTTAAAGAATTATATTTGAATACAAATTATACTTTTTTGTCAATAATGTATAATTTAAGTAACATAACCTAAAATTTAACAAATGTTTCTTATGGACAGAAAATTGTAATTTTTATTCAAATGCAACTTTCAATCGTTTTAAATGTTCAAAATTAAATTCTTCGCCTTTCCACCGAAACGAATTTAAAAATTAATTTTTTTTTTCTTTTAAATTACAAAATTGTGACATTGAACTAACTTTTGTTTGGACTGTACATCAGATTCTTCCTTAACAAAATTTTAGTCTTTTAATGAAAAGAAGTAAAAAGAAATTCTGATGATTTCTATTTGTCATTACAATTTTGAATTAATTATAAAATAAAAATAATGATAACATAATAATAAAATATACTATCTATCTAAAGTTAACAAAAAACAAAAGTATAAACAAAACACAACTTCAGAGTGTGAGAGACAGAAAAAGTGAATGAATGAAAGAATGAAAGAACATTCAAATTATTATAGTTAATTAATAGTAGAAGAATATAAAACTTATTTTGTTAGTAAAATGACTAACTTCTATTACTAAAATTAAAATAATTAGTTTTTTGTTGAAAAAGAACTAATTTTGAATGGAAGCAAAAAAATTTTTTTTAGTAAAATTGAAATTAAAATGTTTTTAGTAAAAAATGAGCACAATTTTAGCAGTTGAATTAAAACTGTTTAGTTTTTTGTCAAGAAAAACCAAATTTTTATCAGTAAAGTTAAAATAATTAATTTTTTCTAGAAGAAGAATAAATCTTCATTAGTAAAGTTGAAGTAATAAGTTTTTGATTGATAAAACTCGTTTTTAGCTATTAAATTAAAATAATTAGTTTTTAATAAAAAAAATAGATTTTTACCAGTAAAATTATTAAAATTAGTATTTTAGTAGGCAAGGGACTAATTTTCATCAATAAAATTAATTTAACTACTTTTAGTGTTAAAATAACGCATATTTAGCAGTATAATTAAAACAATTAATCTTTAGTAGAAATGGAACTTATTTTAGTAGTAAAATACCTCATTTTTAGGTAAAATGAAAGGTTAATTAGGTTTAAAATAAAGTTAATTAAGTTAAATAAAAGTTTCAATGATAATTTTACCTAAATAATTTTAGGTTATATAAAAAAAATTAGTTTTTAGTGTAAAAAGAACTCATTTTATTAGAAAAATTAGTGAAACTTTACTAATTTGTTTCAAATTATAAAACTAAGTGGCACAAATTTATATAATTATATTATATTTGAAAAAAGAAAAGTTGGAAAAAATAGACCCTGGAAAATATCGAGTTTCACTTTGAGAAATATTATTGTATTTTACTAATATAATAAACATACTTGAATGTATATTTTTTTCTTTTATCATAAAATATTTTAAAACCGATATGTGTCAAATGTGCGCATTCTCTCGTAACGCTTTAAACACACTCGTAATAATAATAATAATTTTCCAGCACGAATATT